TTTCATTTTTTATAAACGGTATTATAAAGTGCTTATCACTGCTTAAACTATGACATACATGTCCCGATAGGACAATCCCTTTCACTCCCTTTAGAGTTCTTCTAAATAGAGAACAATTGACTGGAAATTTTAAAATTCAAATGAGAAACAAATATAATAAAATAACTATAAATTATTAAAACTACGGTAATACATTGTTTAACTTACATTGCAATGCATTGTAATTTTAAGTTATATTTGAGTATACCTTGTTATAAATTATTTCCATACTTATCTAAATTCTTAACAATAAAATGGTAACATTTATGTAAAATGGTAACATGGTCGAGAAACTACTCCAACTTTTATCATTTTCAACTAAAATTGTTTTCTACCTTAAATTAAATTTAATATTTATATAATTTTTAAATATTAATTTCCTAAAATAACTTGTATATAAGGATTTTTACAACCATGCATACAAATTATGACTTTTTCAAAATTCAATTTTAATATTTATATGATATTATAAAACTAATGTCTTCAAAGTTATAATATGAGCTTTAGACAATCAGAGTAACGTTAGATATTTGTATATTTATTATATTTAATTAATAATTTGCCTCAAAAGTTGATTATTCATCCAATATTCATAGATTTTTATTTCAAAAAATATTTATTAAATATTCAAAAATAGCTAACGCTACTCTGATTGTCTAAAGCTCATAAATTTATAATATCTGTATAATAATATACATAATATATATAAAATATATTCTCTGCAATTTGTGAATACGGATTATACATTGGATTAAATATATTACACAATATGAATGCTATTACTCAATAACTTATTACATTTATCTAAACGATTTGTATATCATTAAAAATGCATATCCGATATTTTTGATGAACTTTTATATTATGTATAGTTTATTGAATATCCGGTAGAATGTCATAACATGTGAAAACTTTAATCATTAAACATATTTTGGCATATATACGGTATATTTAATAACAAAAATTAATTCTTACATGTAATGCATGTATTCTCATATTCAGTAACATTAATGAATAATTTGAATGATTTATTAATTCGCCTGTTGAATGACATCATATTTGATATATTATTTCAGTTTAGATGTGAAACATTCAAGAAAAGCTAATTTAATTATATATTGCATGTGATATAACTTACTGTATATAAGACATATACTGTGACATAGAATTGATTACATCTAAATAAGACATACAAAATGTTTTCAAAACAATAATTTTATTAATTCTATACAACTATACAACTACTCCACACATATAAGAATAAATAGAAAATTATAAAAATAATTATTTATATTTTATGTTAGAAATGTTAAGGTTATATAATTTATATTTCATTTGTTAAATATGATTCTAAATGTGATTTTAAAAATTAAGCATTTTAATAATAATTAAAGATTATTTATATTAATATATCAGTTGTACAGTATATAAGAAATTATGTTTTCAAAAATCATGTTAAATAATGTCTATAGAAGTATAGCAAAGGAGATTGTCATTCATTTAGATTGTAATAGATTTTTGTGTGTAAATTGTTTTTTCGGTCGATTTTCTTTCAGATTAATGGATACTTAAGTTTTGTATCATTAGAGTAGTTGTTTGCCATAAGAGTCATACGTACGGAACATCAACTTTTTTATTGCTTTCATTTCAAATCTTATATATGTTTCAAAATCATTAAACAAAGGGAAAAATATTAGCGAATAGAAGATATGGTTTCCATTGATTATAATAATTTAAATTGTTTTTTCGGTCGATTTTCTTTCAGATTAATGGATACTTAAGTTTTGTATCATTAGAGTAGTTGTTTGCCATAAGAGTCATACGTACGGAACATCAACTTTTTTATTGCTTTCATTTCAAATACATTACAAAGTATTGGTCATCTAAATATGTTCACACACGAACATACATTACAATGTTTTATGTAACAAAACTCAAATCACATAAACTCATATTACATTGTAAATTATTACTGTATTATTATTTAAGCAAAATTCTTTATTTCGAGTATTATGCATTTATATTTCATAATGTTATTTTATAAATTATTATTACAATTGTTATAATTTTCTTAATTTTAGGAGTGTTTCCAAATATATTGTATACATTACCCCTGAAAAACCACTTTATTGTTAAGCACAATATAAATTTGATAAAACACAGCAAATTTGACTTGAAATAAGTGCTAATTCACACGTTTATGCACAGTATAGTTAGCTAAAGTGAATGTATATTAGATTTAAAACAACACACCGAAGTTTCTCCTCATTTTGTGAAAACAATTTCATATTACAGGTAAAATAAAGTGCATTTTAGGACTCTATACTGGTATGCGACGATATTATAGTGCTTAATAAAAGTATGTTGTCAATTTAATTGATGCTCTATAAACTATTTGAAGCCTACTTTCAAACCATATCTGTATTCATGGCTATAGATTGAACCCAAGGGATGTGAAAATGTGACAAAATTTCATTCTATATATCATTTAAAGCATAAGAAATGTCATCCTTTGTGATACTCAAGAAATTCAATGCAATATCTTTGACTGAATACTAACGCAATTCATGCATAAAACTAATGTACAATAAAATCTTTTATAATTAGCAACGACACAAAAAACAGTCAAATTATTCAAATGTATTATATTTATAATGATTATAATGATATGGGTTCAGGTAAATGGTATAATTAATTATTTCCATTTCAAATAATACATTGAAGTGTAAATTTAAAACTGCAAAACACAGCTTAAAGGGACTGACACTTTTGAAGTGATTAGATTGTGTGTTAGTGTTGTGTAATACTGGTACTGGTAATGCTGTACATTGAATGTACCGGTGCTGTCATTTCACTCGCAGTTAATTCGGAATTAAACGTAAATAGAAACTCAATCGGATTTATAGGGAAAACGGTTTAATAGACACATACGAGTCCTTCCGGTCGAGCAAATCTAATTTTTCAAGTCTTGTTTATGTTTTACGGGTTTTATTAATCCTTTGATTGTATCAGAATAGCAAAAGTACTGGCATTAGAAGTTTATTTTGAGACACAACATAACATTGCTATAAAACTGTGAGACAAGTATAACAAAATCTAATCAATCCAAGTGCCGATCCCTTAGGTTCTCTAAAACTAATTATTCTGTTCTGATTTGAACACAATTTGCAGAAATAAATCAAATTAATAAATAAATTAACATTTGTAATATAGGTTATTCTGTACAAATTCTTCTATACATAAATGTAATATTAAATGTAAACTACAATAATACCATTTTCAATAACCTTTTACCAAATGTTCTAACCATGACTTTATGGCATAGAATCTTAACCTTTGATATGAATGTGGAATGTGTTTAGAGAGAGAGAGAGAGAGAGAGAGAGAGAGCAAAATTATACAGAGACGGGAAGCTGTGTGACAACGTATGGACTTAATTACATAAATCTTTATGAAACTAATAGCAAAGATCGATATTAATAATGAAAATAATGACATTTACCTGAATAGGCGTGAAGTGGAGTCTTAACGGCCAAGAGATAAGAGGGAGAGGAGCCGGAAGAGGATGCGTTAGATCGGGACCGGCTGTGAGGCGTCGAACTCTTCTCGTGAGTGATAACGGGTGTGATTTGTCTTCTGGTCGTAATGTCGGGCGGAATCTCTGAAGAGACCAATTCTGAAGAGACTTCAAGAGTTGGCTTATGTCTGACTTCAGCTGCAGTTCTCAGAGACTGGTAGACGGGATCAACCGTTTGCTCTGCATTTTGCTCTAAATATTTGATTAATTAATTTGTTAGTTTAATAATATAGCATATTGCTCATTAGTTTTCAAACGTATATTATTAATTAGTAAGTATAAGAGGCTTCTCTATGTGGGAATAATAAATGTAATGTTTTCAAGATATAAAGTATTATTATATAAATGTTTACAATTATATTTAAATTTTAATATTGTTTAAACTAAATCAATTGATACAGTAGTTGATTAAAATGTATGAGTGCAATATACTTATGGACTCAGCAAATGAATCCATAATATATTTGAATAATTAATTTACAGACTATTTAAACGATAATAGAAACAATCAAGTAATGAATAAAACTCTTGAGAATTTTATATTTTAATTAATTCCTTAAAGTTTAAAACATGAAATTAATCACAACATGAGTGAAGATAAAACATTAATTACTTTGACTTTAAAGCAACTAATATTACAGTTAAAAGAAGTTATATATTTCTTGTGGAACAAAATGACATATTATTTCAACAATGATTACAATTTCATATTATAATTTGAAGATACATGATCATTTAAAATGAATTTAGTCACTACTCTATAAGAAATTTTTACCAAGAATTGTCTATTATATATTGTATTGTATTAACATCTTTGTATTGTATACGAAAAACATGCTATACTTAGCATAATAAAGTACTTTTGGTTCCTCACAGTTAAAAGGTCGCACATTATTATGTAATCATTATATTGCAATTAAAATACTGTATATGATTCAAAATACTGTAATAACCATATAAGAGAAACTTTATTTAAAATCAAAGCCAATATAAAAGGCTAGTAAAACTAGAACATTTCAAAATATTGTATATTAGTACTGCATGTTGTATAATAAGTAATAAACTATAATATAAGAATCAAATGAGTATTGTATAATGTTAGGTTGATGGACATAAATTTGTACAATTATTTTATTATAATCATTATAACTGTCACGCATATAAATTTACCAGTAATTTTGTGTATAAAATATATCTAATTTTAATTATAAAATTAATTGCTTGAAAATTCACTATATCAATGAAAATTTCAATTAATAAATTATATTTATATAAATCATTCAAAGTAAATGTGAACTTCTAATGGATATTCTTTATTAACTTAATATGCTAAATAATTTATAGTTAAAAATGCTTATAATTAGAGTTAATTAAAGTTAAAGCTTATTGAATAATTTGTATACAATATAATAATTTCAATGCAATGTATTTGAAAAAAAAATATTGTTTAGTCGCGAATACAATATAAGTCTCTTATCTTTTCATATATTCATTATACATATGAATACTTAATATTCAAAAAGCAATTATTGCGACTCTAAGCCCTAATAAAAAATAGTTACGTTTTATGTATAATAATTGAAAAGTGAGAGCATTTGTGACCTCCAACTCCGTGCAAACCTACAGTCAGTTTGAGTGAAATGAATAGACTGTGTGTTGGCATCGCATCGATCGCTAATCCATTTAACTGATAGCAAAGTATGCAATGAATTATAAATGCATACGAGTTGGACACCGATTAAAGGATAGCGTGTAAAACAGTTGTTAAACTAAATTATTATAATCAATGGAAACCATATCTTGTATTCGCTAATATTTTTCCCTTTGTTTAATGATTTTGAAACATATATAAGATTTGAAATGAAAGCAATAAAAAAGTTGATGTTCTGTACGTATGACTCTTATGGCAAACAACTACTCTAATGATACAAAACTTAAGTATCCATTAATCTGAAAGAAAATCGACCGAAAAAACAATTTACACACTAAAATCTATTACAATCTAAATGAATGACAATCTCCTTTGCTATACTTCTATAGACATTATTTAACATGATTTTTGAAAACATAATTTCTTATATACTGTACAATTGATATATTAATATCAATAATCTTTAATTATTATTAAAATGCTTAATTTTTAAAATCACATTTAGAATAATATTTCACAAATGAAATATAAATTATATAACCTTAACATTTTTAACATAAAATATAAATAATTATTTTTATAATTTTCTATTTATCCTTATTTGTGTGGAGGAGTAGTTGTATAGTTGTATAGAATTAATAAAATTATTGTTTTGAAAACATTTTGTATGTCTTATTTAGATGTAATCAATTCTATGTCACAGTATATGTCTTATATACAGTCAGTTATATCACATGCAATATATAATTAAATTAGCTTTTCTTGAATGTTTCACATCTAAACTGAAATCATATATCAAATATGATGTCATTCAACAGGCGAATTAATAAATCATTCAAATTATTCATTAATGTTACTGAATATGAGAATACATGCATTACATGTAAGAATTAATTTTTGTTATTAAATATACCGTATATACGCCAAAATATGTTTAATGATTAAAGTTTTCACATGTTATGACATTCTACCGGATATTCAATAAAGTATGCATCATATAAAAGTTCATCAAAAATATCGGATATGTATTTTTAATGATATACAAATCGTTTAGATAAATGTAATAAGTTATTGAGTAATAGCATTCATATTGTGTAATAGTTCTTTATATTTAATCCAATGTATAATCCGTATTCACAAATTGCAGAGAATATATTTTATATATATTATGTATATTTATTATATTATATGAGCTTTAGACAATCAGAGTAAAGTTAGCTATTTTTGTATATTTAATAAATATTTTTTGAATATTGTTTTGAATTTTGAGTATTTTGAATGAATATTGTATGAATAATCAGCTTTTAAGGTAAATTATTAATTAAATATAATAAATATAAAAATATCTAACGTTACTCTGATTGTCTAAAGCTCATATTATAACTTTGAAGACAATAGTTTAATAATATTATATAAATATTAAAATTGGATTTTGAAAAAGTCATAATTTTTATGCATGGTTGTAAAAATCCTTATATCCCTATACAAGTTATTTTAGGAAATTAATATTTAAAAATGATATAAATATTAAATTTAATTTAAGGTAGAAAACAGTTTTAGTTGAAAGTTGGAGTAGTTTCTCGACTCATCCCTTCAAAATGTTATCATTTTATTGTTAAGAATTTAGATAAGTATGGGAATCATTTATAACAAGGTATACTCAAATATGCCTTAAAATTACAATGCATCACAGATTTGTTAAATAATGTATTATCTTTAATAATTTATAGTTATTTTATTATATTTGTTTCTCATTTCAATTTTTAAATTTTCAGTCAATTGTTCATCTATTTAGTAGAGCTCTAAAGGGAGTGAAAGGGATTGTCCTATCGGGACATGTATGCCATAGTTTAAGCAGTGATAAGCACTTTATAATACCATTTATAAAAAATGAAATGGAAATGTGAAAATAGTTTGAACTCAGCATAAATGCATATTTCACAGCAACTGTTAACTAAGTACTCAATCAAATCAAAAGTCAATACCTTTGTCTTCAATGTCAGCCAATGTTAGTCGCGTTTCCAGTTCTGACGCAGACTTTTGTTTTCTTAATAACCGAGTCTTTGGCTAAATATATAAGAAATGAATAGTAGTATACCTATGGGTCCAAAAACGCGCCAATCATACCTGACATTTGGGCGCATTCTCCTGGCACTGACCCGAATGGACATTCATTTTACATAATTTGCATTTAAGGCCTTGACGTGAATGTCCTGATCATCATTATAGAGATCAAGTGTTGATTAATGGTTGTGGTAATTGTGTGATAAATATGAGACAAACCTCTAAGTATTTCTCGACAGACATCACAAGCGGTGATCTTTTTGTAAGTGTTTTCTTGGAAGGCGTGCTGACCCGCAGGGAACCCACACCTCGAGCTCGAACTCTCTCTGTCCTCCTCTGACCTGAGTTTGCAATCAATCATCACTTTTAGTTATAAGTCACTCATTGCCTGCATGAAGCTAATCAAGAAATTTTATTTAAAAAGCATTTAATTTCATTGGGTGCAAAATTATTTGCGTGGAGTCTAGTATTAATTTTAGAAATAGGATATTTTCAAATATAAAGTCTATTTGTGTTCAATTGTCGATATTAGATGCGAACTGCTTAGTGAAAAGGTTTGAAACAATTATTCAAAAGAAATCAATTCTTGAAATGTTTGGTATGATTTGAAATTCTAATTCTCGACATTTTCTCAAGAATTGAATTTTTGGTTAAAAATTTATTCAAAAATAAAACAGTTTTATATAAATTGGATCATCGATTAGAGATATAACAGATACTGATATATTAAACCTGTTGAGAATTGGATCACATTTTATTCATCGCTTATTATTCAAAGGATACAAATTTGATAAATAAAAATATAATTTATATTTTCTATTTGAATGTATACTTGTATATATATATATATTCAGTATTTATTTCACGTTTCAATAACTGAATAAAAAATAAAATATATTAATACAATTTAGATCTACAAACATACTGTAATATATTTTACGAATTATATTCAATGAATTATTTTCTCAATTCAATGAATCCATTCTTTATATAACAATAAATTAAATAGAAATACAAACAATAAATTACAAAAGAATTGTAAAACAATATAACAACCGATACTTTCAATAAAATCCAATTTCATGTGAAGTAACTATTTTATGGAACATATGAATTGAAAACACAATTATTTTTGCTTAGTTTCCACTATTCTTACATGTAATACATCAATGACTTTGTCAGACATTTATTGAATAGATTTGTGTAGTAATGAGATTTGAATTTTTTGTTTAAATATTTCAATTTATTTGATATTTTAATTGAATTCTTTACAGAATATATTGTTTTAGTTACAATAGCATAAGTGGAAATAATATGGATACTGATTTGACAGACTATCACATGTTTATTCAGTTTTTAAATTAAATTTATTTAAATTAAAAGATCAAATAATCCAATAAGATATATACAAACTATTACCATTAAAAATTAAAATGTAAATATTTAATATTATAAAATGTAATCATCAAACTTATATTAAAACTTAATAATCCTAAATATACATTACTGAAATATATGCCAATACTTTCACATTTTTGAAGATCTTATAATTCCTTACATAATGATAATTTAGTCATTAATTATTTGTGAGATGTCTATCTAATAAAAATACCAAATAATAATCTTAACAACTTTTCTAGCATTAAAGTAAATTAAATACATATTTAAATATTTAATCAAAATTTTTGAAAAGTTCTTTGAATTCTTGTAAACAAAAATTACATTAAAATAAATTTTTATAATAAGCATTATATGAAATGCTTAATAAATTCAATTGTTTTTTTTTGTAAAAGCAGTAATACAAGTCTTCAAATATTTAATATATTTTAGAGTAATAAAATTTTTATAAAATAAAACCTAATTATAATATTTTGTATGACGATTTAAATATTTTATTTTAATAGTTATTAATCTATTTAAAGGATTTACTGAGATTTATATAAAATAAATTTCAAAAATTCAGTGTTTTATGTAATATGAGAGCATCAGTGCACTTTTCATATCTAGGAATAGGTCTCTAAAAGTTGTTTATAAGGAATTTCATTACATATATAAGAATGCAATTATGCAAATGGGAACGAATGACAAAAATTGGATTTTGGATAAATATATTATTTATATAAAAAAACTTGTAATATATTAGGCAAATGTTTAATTAAATATTCAAGAATTAGAAAAATATGCATTGTAATAGTCAAATGGAACTTATAATTATAAATTAATATGTATTATCATTTTTTACAAAAACATTTTTTGTGAAAATGCTAATTTG